GTCTATATGAGTATAAAAGTTAACATTTTAAAAGTTTAAAATGGAAAATTCTAACTAAACTAAATATGTGTTCCTTTTTAAATAATATTTGTAAAACAAACTAAAACATTCCAACTATGGTATTTTTTTTTTTTTTTTTACAAGACAAAACTACAATTTAATAATATACTTTCGGTAAGATGACGTTGCAACGTCAGTCAGCATGCTGATAGGTATACTAAAGTCTAAACTACAATACAGATATAACAAAAATAATTACAAGTAGGTACGTATGAATTTGATAATATATTTTGTTTTTTTTTGTCGTTCGGTTGTCTAACATTTTGAAACATTTTTGGAAATACGTCAATGAATAAAACTAATATTAAGCAATACACATATATAACTTAACAGTCTTTTATCCTTAAATTAAAATATTTAATTGATGATGTACATACAAAAATGGCTCTGAGATCAATTTATGTCAAATATTGCTCCGCTTCCCGGTCTATCTAATACCTATAGTAATTATGTATGTAAGTTTATGAAATATTTCTTTCCTATTGATAAAAAAAAGACAATAATGATATTATATTAGTGCGCTAATATATTTTTATCTTCATACATTTTTTAAAAATATGACACCAGTATCAGGCACGCCGGAAAAATTCTTGTAAATATTTATGAAAATAATACGTCTGATAGTGGTAAAAGTATTTACGTCGATACACGTTTGAGTTTTACTAGCTTAGGTATAAAAAAATTACAATAGAGTACATTGCTCTGGCGACTAAAATAAAAACTGGTCATTATAGTTTTAAAAAATTGTAATTTAAAACTCAGCAGGGGTAAATTTTAATTAGCATTTCTCTAAAATAAATATGTTTTTAAAATAGTAATGCATTTTGACAACACCTATAAATCAAATCAATTAGTATGTATCGACGTCATAATTTTTATAAAATATATACATTCATTATACAGTATAAATAAATTATCAGAACAGCCGTCATTTACCTAAGTATTTTTCAAATATTGAACAGTAGTAAAGTATATTTTGTTAATTTTTCGTTGATTTTCACAAGTTTTTATATCAATATTGCGTTGTAAAACAAGCTCTAAGGTTAGTCGAAATCGTTAACAGTCTAAATCAATACACAACCCCGTCGTATCCAGCATTGTAATTGAGCTTCTATACCGTTGCGATATTGTCAATTAATGTTTGGTCAGATTGTTTTCCCTGTAGGGGTATACCCCGCGTTTTGAATACGGATTGTGTTTCACGATATTGTCCTGACAATATTGCATTTACTTTAACGAAAACCATGGTATTTCAATACAATATAAGTGGTATAAAATGTTTTATATATAAAATATTAACGCTGTCATATTTTCCCCCAGTGTAATTTTGTAATCTTTTAGGCAAAATGTGTTCAAATACTTAGCATACACATTGTTTTATGCTTCACCCTGCTTAAAAAACACTCACACCTACGTCTTTTATATCTTAAACAAGGCGTTTTAAAACATAGGCACTTATGCTAAACTATAAAACGTATAAATAAAATATGCTCATTTTCAAAAAGTTTTTAAATGTAAAACGTGATACTGGCCTCATTTAGACTATGACACAGTGCAAATATACACAGCAAATAAATTCACAAATTAAACCATTTTAGTAAAAGTATTTTATCATAATTTCGTAAAGGAATTTATTTAAAAAATAAGACTAAATGGCGAATGGACATACAAACATCACTGTCTAATATTGCTAGTCGACTACAAATCGTTTTCCCCCTAACACGTATGGTATTTTTTAATTTAAATAACCGTCTTATAAATATGGGTCCAAGTCATACACGTTGGGTCATGCTGGTTTCTTGATCACCTTTTCTTTATTTATCTCATTCAACCACTTTATCTATGGTCTACCCTACTTATAAATCCTTCAACGCTAATATATACCTTACGCCACTTGCCAACATGAGAGGGGCCGGGGTGAGTATCTTCGCTCCAAAATTTGAATTTAATTGCGATGTTGGATCATTTCCCTTTCCTACGATGAGTTTATGTGTATCTATACCATATTTTTTTTACACATATTCTAAACCTCATTCTGTAAATTCGTACTCAAAATATAGAAATATTATCTACACTATATTTTCATCCCGGTATCCGCGGCCCGTAAACTACAAAGGGCGACGACGATACAACGCAAATTTATTGGTTGGGGTTTCATCGAATCATTGTACACAACGCACGCGGATTTATGAGCAAAAGGAAAAAAACGCACACGGTTCATCTGTTTCGCCCTGTATAGCTGCTGCAGATTGCAAAAGAGGCCAGACTCGGCCGATATCAAGGGGTGGGCGGGTCTGCGATCGATCAACAAAATTCTTTTTTCCACGGCGGCGGCGGCGGCGGCGGCGGAGGCTCGTTTAATTTTCGTCGGCGACGGCGGCTGCAGTTTTTATTTTATTTTATTTTTTTGGTTATACGCCGGACGTCGCCGCCGCCGCCGCCACCGCTCGTCTGACCCTGGCGTGTCCCATCGGCTACGGAAACTATATACGTGTTGGTTGGGCAGGGCGTGTGGAGAAAGAGCGTGCGTGTATAAGGGGAAAAAAAGAGAGAGGATAGAGAGAATGACTGAAAGAGAGAGAGAGAGAGAGAGAGAGAAGATGCAAATTCGCCGGGAATTTTATCGACGTGGGCCTACGCCGCTCGCTATCGGCACCAGACGGCGGCGGTTGCATTGCGGGCGCGGCGGCAGGGGAGAGGCGGAGTCGGCGAGACGACAAAGAAAAGCCCGACTAAATTCGGCAACCACGCTCAACCCTCGGATCGCCGGCGAGACGGGCCGCCACCTTCTCCTCCGCAGTGCGTCGCCCCCGCTAAACGCAGTTTGAAACGAAAAAATATCGTTCCCCTTAAAAGAATAAAGGATAGTCCGACGAGAGGTAACCGGAATCGTCGTACTGTGATATTATTATTTTATTTTAATCTATATGCAAGGGGATAGTTTATAAAAGGGGGCAGCTCCAAAACCTAAGAGAAAAAAAAAAAAAAAGTTCCGGAATCCGGAGAGGGGGGGGGATGGAAGTATGAATCGTTATCGTTTTGGCGGCTGGCCCACGTGATCATTAATTTGATCGTTGGTGGACCACGGGTTTCTTTTTTTCGGTCCACGGGTTCTAGGTTATAATAAACGCTGTTGTTTCATGCTCTTATGACTGTATACACGTGCTTTTGGGCGTAAGCTATACAGTCGACATCACTCGTGGCTCTTGGAAACGTGTTCTTTTTACTTCTAACGTTAACGTGCTACGCCCAAATTTCTACACGCTCTAGAGCCCCCGGGAGTCGTTAAAAAACGGGTTAGCGCGCGTGTGCAATTTTTTTTTGTTTTTTTTTTTTTTTTTGTTGCCGAAGCGGCCTCGAGTGTGCGTCGGGAGTGGCGACGGCGGCGGCCGAGACGGTATTTCGGCTTAGCCCGGCTAGACCCAAAGTATTGATTATCTTCCGCGTTTTTTTTCGGTTGCTAAGTGATTATAACAAAAAAAAAATTTTCGACCGGGCGTGAGATTGCGGCGAAGAGGGGGTGGAGGAAAAAGCGGAAGTCGACTGGAGTTTCGTACGGCGAGTCTGGCGGTGGGGTCGCCCCGTACCTACATACACACACATACACGTATATACTTATATGTATATATATATATATATATATTTGGACAAAAGCAAAACGGATGCAGCCGGGGTGGGGGACGAATGCAACTACGTGTTGCATCACGGCCACCAATGTCCCCGCTCGTCCGCCGGCCACCGTCGTTGCTGCTGCTGTTGTGACGTCACCGTCGAAGAACACGTCCGGCGTATACACACACACACACACACACATACATATGCACACAATACACAATACACTAGTACAAGCTGCATACTCGGTACACATAAACACCGGATCGCCACCGCCGCCGCCGAACGGTGTGTTGTAATACGCGACCGTCCGCCGCCGCGCGCGTGTACCGTCACCGCCATCACCGTAATCCGTCATTCATATTATTATTTGCGGCGTATTTTTTTTTTTAACTTGTTTATTTTTTTTTTTATTAATTTCGAACAATTAATATTTTGATAGTATTAGTTGAACGTCCGGGGATTGTTATTGTTTTTGGTGCGCGATGCAGCTGCAACGCCGTGCGGCCGTCGGATGCGGCCGGTCGTGTCCCGCGCACGACCGTCAGGCGGTCAGAAAACACTTGCGTCGTTGGTCACACAACATGGTTCTCGTCATAGGTAAGTCTTGCGAAACTTTCTCACACTCACATGATACAGGCACACACGTGAAAGCGCGAGCACCACGCGATCGACTGTGTGCGTGTGCATAGGTATAATATATGACGTGTATTATAATACGTGTTTACCTATGATCGCGTACATACGTGTAATGATCGGACGAGCCGACCTACCTCAACGTGTATCGCGTTGCCGCGTCGTCCTCTGCCGTCGTTCGTGAATCGTGATCTCGCGCCGCGTTTCGGCTGCGGACGACAATCGATTATAGTATTCCGTTTTATCGTTATTATTATTCCCCCATTCCGTTCGTTTGGCTCTTTGGTTATTTTTATTTTATTCGGCATATAAAAAAACAAAATCCGCGCGCGCACACCGGTCAAACCGTAGGCCGTTATGTAGGTACGGGTAAGCGCCGCAGCGAAAATATGAAAAAAAGCGACGCCGGGAGAGAGAGTGGGGGTGGCGACGGTTTGATATTGTAGGAAATGCACCGTGGGCCGGCGGCCGGGCGGGGCGTGTGACCAAAAAGACGGGGGAGCGGGGGTTCCCTACCCCCTCTGGCCTCTACTATAGCCGGCGTTTGAGTAGTTCGGCCGTCTTCGGCGCCGGCCGTGCATCGGACGTCTTCGTGATTCCCCCCTCGCCCTCTGCCGGGCCCGTTGGTCGTCGGGTGGGGGCGAGCGGGCGGGCGGGCGGGTTTGAGTGTGTGTGTGCGCGCACCGGGCGACGGCGAAATGCAGTTTTTCGACAGCCTAATGCATGTTGCACATTTTGTGTTCTCCAAGGACGACGGCCCGACCAACCTAAATGAGCGGTCCTCTTGCATTCAGATGCACTGTGCTCGGATGCACCAACGGGCGGTCGCAACGGCAACAAAAATTGTTACTACCAATAGTTTCTTAATTTTTTTTTTATATATATATTTTTTTTTAATACGTTCAATTTCAGTCGTTCGTTAAGTTATCGATAATTATTTTTCTCAGTGTGCGCTCGTCCGTGTTCGCGTTTAGTAATAGTTACAATAATAATAATAATAATAATAACAACAATATTAACAATAATCAAAATAATGAGTTGGTACGATTTATTATAATATTTACACTAAAAAATATAACGATTTAAATTTTTCTTTTTTTTAATTTTTAATTTTGTTACGGTCGTTTTTCTCCGTCGCGTTTGTGCGTGCGTCGCGGCCATCACAATTTGCAAACCAAATAAAAGGAATTTCGTTTCGGAAAATCGAAAATTATTATCGTCGAAGCCAACGGCGATCCCTTAATCGTTCAGGAACGGTACGTTTATTTGGTTTGATTTTATTTCCAACGCATGAAACATATTTTTATTTGCCGAATTTTATAACGGCCGGTATTTGAATGGCGTGATTTTTGGTCGGCAGCCGATTAATGTGGCAGGTTATCTTTTATTTATCAGCCGTCGATGACATTGCGCCTGACCTCCTCACTTTGTCCCTAAGCGCGTGCAAATTTCATGTGTACAGTTTTTTTTTATACCTACTTAGCTGCGCGTCTACGCTAAAAACTAAGTAGTTACACAATGCGCAACCGATACATGATTTTCTAATAAACTAATATAGTATCCAAATATTCATTACGGAATCTTAGTACAATTTTAGTTTTATGCCTGTCGTCGCTCGCACGGTTATTACACTAATTCTCTAAATTTACATTGTATATGAACATTTTTTCTTCAAAAAACTTTTTAAAAATCGTTACGGCAGTCACTGTGTATACAGCGGCGATCACAATTAGTAGGCTTGACGCCTGACGGGTCGATTCACACGTTTACATTGTAAACGGTTAGTTTAAAATTAAAAAAAACCACCCTATTCGGATGGTGGAGGCGAACTATCGGAGTCTGTAGGTCGCCACCGCAAGTACCTTTCTATACGCAAACTATATACATCATGCGATATGCGTTTATGTTGCAACAACAATTATGCAAATGGACCGTCGTCAGACAGGAGGGGGCCCGCGATTTGCCGGTCATTTACCAAATAGGATACAATAATATATTTGTGTACATATAGTATATAACAATATTGTTGTTTCCACACCGTTTAGTAGTGTTCTGTATCTAACGTTTTTCGCCATCCTACTTTAAAGCAAAGCGTGATATACTCGCCTGTGGGCTGTGCACACATACACATTGCAAAAAGTTTCTTGCGACACAGACAAACAAAAACTATAGGGGCCCCCGTGTCTGTTGGCCGACGCCATCGCCACCGCCGGCTGCAGGACCGATCGATTTCTTTCCGGCGGTTTTGCACTTCCTCTTTTTCTGTACACATTTTGTTTTATGACTTTTTTTTTCCGAGTTCCACTGAAACGTGCAGATGACGTCACGTGGTGGTCGCCGCGGTCCAATGATAACGATAATATTGTAATTTCAACAGCATGTTGTAGTCGAAAAATTAAAAAATTCTGCCCACCAGACCACGTAGTCATAAAAAAAAAATTAAATAATAAATTTTAGATTTGTCAGATAAAAAAAAAAACGTGTTTTACATAAATTATGCATTATAGTCGTCGACCAACTATAAAATTTGAAAAAAAAAAATCGTCACACGCTCGGATGCAAATTTTTGAATCCAACACTTATAACGTCGAGTGTTGCGTTGCACGTGTGATTTCCAATGTCTATTTGTTTCTGTATGAATTTATTCTGGGTCATTGCAATTTTATGTAATTCGGTTATGTTAAAACAAAGCATTAGCTTCATGAATTTACTCGAGTCGATTAAAAAATAATATTAATAATAATAACGTTACCCCTGCTCTCGCGCACCACCAAATTTGTCTTCGATTAGAATAATTACATATTTTTTCTAACAAAAATAATAATTAATTAATTATTGAGTCATTCAAAACACTTAAGTAAGTTATTTAATTATCTGACGATAACCGCTATTCAGCGCGTGTACTGTTACCATACTGAATGATATTGCCATTGCCGTTCTGTTTCCTAGACCGTAATGATCAAATAGAAACCCGTTATTATACATATCATTTTCTTTTTTCGTTTTTTTACGCCAAAAAAATAATCTTGGCCACGACTCCTAAACCGACAGACGTTTCGTTTAACGAGCAAAGCAATAACTCATAATTTGGCCTATCCCCCGTCCTCGCACCATCGCAATGAAGAGCTTCGGTAAATTATTATCAGCAACTTTTTTTGTTTATTATTATTAGAATATTTTTTTTTTTTTGCTGACCGATAACGGCTTTGACCCTTTTTTTACAGTGCAAAAAATTAAAGAAAAGATCAAATACATTTAATTGGTGTCTGTTATCTTTATTATGATGTACACTCATGTAATACATTATACATATACCATTTACAGTATACAAAATGATTACAATAACTTGTGGTCGATTTAAATATAATAAACTTACCTATTTTGTTAGCTGTGACGGTATAAAATAATAATGATTTTATCATCAAAAAAAAAAGTTAATTTCGACAGTAAAAATAAAGAGTTATTAAAACAAATATTTCTTTGGTAATTTAGTTTTATTTAGTTATAAATATGTTAAGGATATTATACTTAACATATTGTCCACCAAACGTCAACAAAACGGTTATTGCTGTTTTTAAATTGCTGTGTAGGGTATGTTAGGAGTAACATTAATTTTATTGAACGGTCTAAACTAATATCTACATGTGCAAAAAGTAATAGTCGGGAGAGATAAAACCAATACAAAATGTACATCATTATAGGTATTAAAGGTATATTTTATTGAGAAATATAAACGCAAAAACTCAAAAAAGAACATTATAAAATTCGTAGTTATATAACGCATTGTACACGTGTACGCTAAACCGAAACGAGTTTATCTAGTGTCCGAGAAATCAGTAATCAATTATTTATAAGCATGTATTATAATTATATTTTCGTGAAAAAAAAATTGGCATGCACGCCTACTCGTAAAAAAAAGAGCACTGTGATTATAATAATATAAGAACGGCGCATTGTATGTATGCACCTCGACAACAAATTATTAATAAATACAAATATTTGACAGAAAACCAGTTTATGTGTTTTTCACTGGACGGGCTTCTTTTTTTATTTTAGCTTTACATCACTGCCAATGATAATAACGTATTGAAAGCTATACACAACAGTAGGGGTCCAATTATTATTAAATACAAGTTTAAATTTTGCAGCCGTCCAAATTATGGCATGTGTGTTTATATATATATATATATTAATATGTAATTAGGTTTTTCTAGGATCCAATGGCTCTAATCATTCGATTTGGATCAATAATTTCGAAGCTCGTTAAAACGACTACCATTAGTATACGAGTATATCTATGGACATATTTATTTGACGGTAATAAAATCTCAAGTAGCAAAACTATATGTATATATATATATATATATATTATATACATAACATTTCAATAATATGTTTTAACATCGTGATTGCATCTTAACAGTTATAGTATTTTACATGAGTTTTGTGATATAGTTTTGCAACTCATATAAATATATTTATATATATCATACTGAATTGATACATTAATTCGTGTGTACATACAACGAAATATCATATTGTAAACAATGCGTTTAACACAACAACAAAATCGATTGTTAACCGTACTAACAAAACAAATTTGCCAACTCTGTACAATAATGTGCAGATTTTACAGTCTAAGTAAAATGTACCTTTTCAGGCTCAGCTCTAAATGTTTAATTGCATATCGAATGTACAAAATAAAATTGTTAAAATTTACAAAATGAACTGACCAAATCGTTGTAAAAATCGTTGTAGGCAAAACTGTGTAAAACATTTCTTCAATCCACCGTAAGTTTAACGGTGTTGTACAATAAACAGATTTTACTATTTTCTATTGACACATTCATAATAGATTTTTGATTATGTCTCGACTATATTATTATTTTGAGACGCATCGTAGTATTAATAATGTAGATATAATATTAAACCCTCAAACTGCAACAACTCCAGAAAGCCAGAAATTATGTTTAAAAATTATTTCTTTGAGATAAAAACAAAAATTAGAATATGCTTTTATACTTTCAAAATTTAACTAAAACCTTAATTTTTTATTTTTTTTTTTATTTATACTTGAGCGCATATTTTGGAAATTTTATTAGTTGTTACAGTTTTGAACTGAGGCGTCGATATCATCATAGAATTTTCTCGGGAATTTTATTTTGTAAACGTTTTCATTTCATAGATGTTATCTAAAATGTTAAATAAATAATAAATTCATTCGGCGGAATGGAAAAACGCGAGAAAACGCTCTAAAACCAAAATATTAATAAAAAAAACTAAAAAAAAAAATCATAATAAAACGCCGTTGTCGATGAATTTGCGTGTAAAATCAAAACTGTGACTCATTGTTTTCAAAAATATTAGCGGCCCGCGTTCTTTTAAACATATCGCAAATAAAACATCACATAATAAATACCTCTTACATATGTACATCTTAGGTTAGGTTTTATTTAGTTGTTTTTTTTTCAAACTCGTATATTATAAAATCATCGGTCACCATTGTACGCCCGCATTTGTAAATTTATATATATATATATAAATATATATCACACAACCTCTCAAGCCGCATAATTTTGCACAAAGTCGGCCTCAATAATTAATAATTGGTGCTCGGTAATTATGTGATAATATGTCCAGTTACGTTTTTCAGTTTTTGAAATTCTATACTTACATACACATCTATGCTAGACGAGCTTTCGCGCTTTTAGGAACGTTATTATACTTAGGGCCGGGGGTGGCAAATTAGGAAAGTGTCTAAAGGCAATAACAAGCAGTTACCCCAAGGTATTTTAATCTAAACAATAAATAGTGGCTTTTTGTTTAATTATTCTTTAAATTCAGGGGAGGTAGATAAAAATTGTAACTATACTTGAGTTTTAAGCATACAAATGGCATCTAGTCGTAGCATCACTATGATAAACTTTAAGATACTTATAAAAAAAAACTACTCCATTTAAAGAAGGTTTCCATATTATGCCTTCTAAGGACAGCTCGTTCATTAGTCCCATTACAGGTCTTCGTGACAGGTTTTTTGATTAAAAACTAGAATCTTCTTGAATTTTTTTACATATATTGCATTTTTTTTTTAATGGATTTATCCGTTGATTGCATTGGAAACTTATTATTTTTTCGCTGTATGTTTTCATTTTCAAACCCGTTATAATATCCATTTGTGCTTTGTCATGTTATTAATTATTCAAAACCGGCGTTTCACAATTCACATACAAACAAATTTGAATATCGACTACAATAA